AGAAAAGGAATAGTTGCAAGGCATGTCCTGTCCCCTCTGCCTGTCACAAAGCATCCCAACTACAGCAGGCACAGCCTGGCTTTTTGTGGCAGGCTGTGAGAGGTGTGGGAGGGCAAGTCTGGTGGCTCTGCTGGCAGGCCTGGCTGCTGTTGCATGCAGGAGGTGTGGCATGCCAGCTGCTGCCACCAGACTGGGATGGGATGAGAGGGGAACAGCAAGGATCTGGCTTTGTCAGCTGTGGTACAGGCATACTGCAATTTACACGGGAATTATATGAACTTACGTAGTCCATTTATAGAAATGCTGATTAAGTTTGGAAGCAATCACTTTGAACTATCCGCCAAGAGCAAAAACTATTCCTTTGTCAGCCTTATGGAACTCAATCTGGAACTATTTTACCAATCTTTCAGATGTCTGAGTTTAATACAGAGATTAGAGAGGGTAAAGTTAGGGCAGAGCTGAGCACAACTGCCAAGCTGTTTGAAGAACGGAATTGTGAGTTAGCTTTGATCCAACACACATTTGAAATATATATTCAGTTACATCTAGCACCAGATGGGTACGAGCTAAAAAAGGAGATGACTGATACCTCATTTACAATGTACCAATCTCAGTTTAATTAAAATAGCGAAGTACTCTTTAAATTGCACTTGCTGACTGTGTTCTCTTACCCACCCCTCATCCCCTACCCTGGCCCTTCACAGTCTAGAGATAGCTGGAGTACAGCTCATTGTAGTCCCTTCACTCCTCTCCCACAAGCAATGCAAGATGCTCCAGAGCATAGATATCCTGCTTTGCACCTGGATTCCCCCTCACTTCCAAGGAATACTTCTACAGAAAATTGTGAGATGGGGGGGGGGGGGGGGGAAGCACTTAATAATTATGTAACAGTCAGTGTTTAGTAAGAGAACCGAACAATTTGTTCGTGGAAATTCCCTCTTTTGACCTCTTCAAGGTGAAAGGTGGGGGCACTACAGGGAATTACGACAGCAGAGGACAGGGAGTTCCAAATGCTATTGTGCGGGCTAGGGATTTATGTAACTAGATACATCTGGGGGAAAGGATTAACACAACATCATGATACAGCCTGAATCAACTCTGCTTAGTTAAACTGCAAGAATTCCTCAGGTTATTAACTACCAAGTTTGCAGTACAGTGACTAACTCATCAAGGCAAACGCACATCAGGTACAGTTTTGAACAGCACCAGAATGCGAAAAAAAACCCAAAACAACTGAAGAAAAACAATACTGAATGATTTTAGGCTTTATGGGAGTTTGTTTCTATTGTCTGGATTATAATTTCCAGCCTATAATTCTTTTAGTTAGTAGTCAACTTTAATGTCTAATTTAAAATGCTGCAGTAAGAAAGCAAAGGGCTGATAAGAGGTGCTGGCTAATACCTAGGGTTGCAGTTTTACAGTGTGCAGTGCCTTCAAATCAGATGATCTCACCATTCCCTAGCCCTCAAAAATCTTTGTTCTCACCCTCATGCTACCTCCTCTTTTTGTCAGTAATTGATGCAGCCACATGGTGATTTGTACCAGGAAGCAGACCTAGTATAAAACCAACCTGGAAAAAAACGGACTGTAATTACAAACCGACAATCTCATGTACCAGAGAAACTGCCACAGGATGTTCCTGTAAATCTGCCAAGTCAATAATATTCATGATGATCTGCTAAGTAAGTGCTGGCTGTGAAGACTGAAGTTGCCTGGGGCTACTGGAAGACACATATCTAGTTTTCCAGAATGTCAGAACACTTTGGGGATTGAATGAGTAAAAATCATTCCTTCAACTTTTGCTTTTTTAACTTCTCATTCCTCAAGGTACTTGTGCCTTATCCACACAATCCAACCCCTTCCAAAGATGCCTAAGGCCTTCCTCATAGGCCTAAGGAATGCCTAAATGGAATTATAAATGTCAGAATGTTTGAAAACATGCTTGTTTAATCATATGACTAAGACTTAGCTGGAGCTGGTCTTCAGCAAAACAGTTACAATTCTTAAAGCTAAATCACAAAGTGGAACAGTATTTTTTGTTATATTTAAATGAAGTCCAGAATGCATTTAAGTTACCATATTATTGTCACATAGATCTTAGGCCTTCTCCTGTGCTTAACAATGTCCTTTACTTTGCTGTTCACTCTAAATGACATAAGGGACAAAATCCAAAAAAGAACCCTACCAATTTGCAAATAGTAATGCTTACAGTGTGTTCTAAATGGAGAACAGTCTCTTTTTTTTTTTTTTTCTCTTTCAACCATTGCTGCATATTAACTATACACTGGAACAGAAAAGTATAAAGCAATATCCTGACTGGGTCCAACAGCTGCAGAAACGAACAGAAGAGTCACAGCATGCCCCTCTTCAAAATGGGTCAGTCATGTCCTGGCCAGCAAGCTTGACCTCAGCAGCCTTTGACCTCTTGGCTTTTTCCATCCTTTGTGCTCTGCCTCCAAACTCTCTTGCATCTATTTCTCCTCTCCATCCTCTCAGTTCTCCACTATGCTTCCCTGTGTACCTTGAAGAGTTTTATTAAAAGGCTGTGACTGTCCCAGACCTGCCACTCCACATTTTCAGCTGCCTCTGACGTGAGGACAGCAGCCTCCAAAAGAGAATGTTTTGTGGCAGAGTCAGCCCTCAAAGGACATACTACAGCATTCAGCGAGGTCAGCAGTGGCAGACGGGATCACTTGGCAGCAACACCAGTAACTAGGGAAGGCAACACATGCAGAGATTCCTGTGGCCTTCCCCTCCCTCCTCTGGAAGAAAAGTTTGGAGACAGAAGAAACGATTGCTCTGCTTTGTGGGTTTATGGGTTTGGTTTTTTTTTTCCTCTCTGATTTTAGCAGTCTTGGAAAAAAGAGCAAGAAAACACAAATACATGCTTCTTGTCAGAAGTATCCAAAATAAGAACAAAGACACAGTCCTTTCCTGACATGTTACAACTCGGGAGTTCAGTCATGAAGAAATAAAACCAGATTCACCCACATTCAGCACAATCTCACGCTTAAACAATGTTTCCAGTTGGAAAAACCTGTTAACGCCATAGTTAACACTGTAATTGTGTATCAAAACATCTATTATAAAAATAACTTAAAAGTTAGTTCAATTCATAGAAAGGCTCAATACAGGAAAAAGTCTTTAGTCATTCATGTGTCTAGCGGAGTATTTCTTTTGGGCAGCGAAGGAACTCTTTTGCTGCTCAGAGTGCAAACACACGTTTCCCATGCTAAAAGAAGTACTACCAGCCAGGGAATATCTACAGGTATAAGGCAGGAGTAATGGGCACGTCCATCCTAACTCATGTAATGACTCCACACTCTTAAAACCAGGATCCAGACAACTGGAACAGCAAAAGACCCACTGGCAGAAGCTCCAATAATTAACATTTTTTGTGCATGACAAAATGCAATAATAATAAACAGCAACACACCTCATGGAACAAGTAAACTTCAGCGAATCGAATCTACTTCTGGAGGTAAGATGGGGTAAGCCCAAGTTCTGTTCTGTTGTGCAGGAAGCAAAGGCAGATTTTCCTAAAAAACCTCTTAATCTGGAAATACCTGGGACTCAAGAGAGCTCTGACCTGTATCTGTATGGAACGACCTAAAGGCAAAGTTGATGTCTCCATGCAGTCCTTCTGGAGCTCCCTGGCACCATGTATCCCAGAGTCCTTTCCATACAGCAGAAGCTAAGGAGGAACTCAAAGGCAGTTTATGCTGCTCAGCCTACTAATACCTCCTAGTCAGATTTCTGATCAGAAATCAGCAGTAATTATCTGTCAAAACCAGGCTGTCTCTTTGCTCCATTGCATACAGCTTTTACAGACCATTCAGGATCCTGTTCAGAGTCCCACACTGGGACAGGCATGCACTGAGAAAGGACATTCATTTCTCCTCCCCCTCTTTGGCAATATAGGTCTTTCTTTCTAGATCTTAAAACACTGTGCCACTACATGCTGCCTGGGATTCTTCTCAGATAATCAACACTTCCCCCCTGATCCCATCCAAACGACTTGTAAACTTCCTTTTCTATAGTGAGGAAAGTACCCTCTTCATGAGCCAGTATCTCATGAAACTTCACTGCCTCCCTCAAACAAACATCTTTCAGCAAGTTTATTTAACCTCCCTAGTTCACCTGCTTTTATCTACATATATGAAAGCATATCCTGCTTGAGATCAGTTTTAAAGTAGTACTTAGAACAAAAACTTATTTCTTGTAATTTACTAGAAGTAAATTACTTCCTTTGTTATCAAGTTCATTTATAATTTAGTCTGAATTTCAACAACGTGAAAATTTAAATTCTGGCTTTGGAATGTGAGCAGCTGCTTTGTTACTCCTAATTTAAAGTAAATATTTCATCGACAAAAAAACCCCGCCCTTAATCCACTTCTTAGTGAAATGCCAATAGGAAGCACCAAGAATTCTCAAAATAGGTATTGGTAAAAAAGCAGGATTATTCTACAGATCACCAAGTGGAAAGAACTGAAGCCAGCTTAAGCTGCCCTCCTAAGGACAGAACTCCAATGCTTAAGGCAACAGGAAGTGAAATAAAGTTTACACTTGTACGGGATGTGGTTTGAACTCAGAAAGGTGTTATTTTAAGAACTCTTACCAGCAAAACTATATAAGACTAAATTTTCTATATGGTAGACCTAGTCTATTCCCTAAAATCCCTATTAATATGAAAACACACACAGAGTGTATGTCCTATTAACAATGTTATCAATACCTTAGCTCTAACTATGAGCACTAGATACATGAGGAAATTTAGGTACGATTTTTTTTATGGCTAACATAATCAAATATGTAAGAACCATTTTCCCACTGATCATTTTTAATTTATGAGATCTAGATAACTTTGAACTTCATTGTAACATGTGCTACAAAATTGCCTGATCAGTTCCTCAAGAGGATAAGTAATAATGAGGCACTCACTGGTTTACAATACAATCAGCATACACAAAACTCTTAATGAATATTTAACCAGCACTTACATTTTCACACTGCATCTTTCTGAGGTTTATGTGGGAAACATTGAGTCCATCAATAACAATATCAAATGGAAGCCGACTTTCCACAAATTTTTGAAAGGCTTCAAATTCCTGAAACAAAGAAAGAAAGAAACACATACAGGGGAAGAATATGTTAATAGAAAGAGACTTCATTCATTTTGTATTTTTAAAAAAATGAAACAAAGCCTAAATCTCTCACTTTCCCTTCACTGGCTACACTTCACAACTTTACTTGCATATTTGGTAAAGCAACCACATACACACACGCAAAAGTCTTTAAAAGCCATGTTACAGTGGATACTTCCAATATCATTTTAAATTACATTACAACTGAGACCCAAAAGTTTACAGTCATCCAGATTTTCAGGATTATAATCCAAACTGCACACTTTATTAAAGATACATGCTATAGTTATTGTTACAGAGCAGCTGCAAAACAAAGCAACTTTACAAACCAGTAGTGTGGCACTATTACTAACTCACAACATTTCCAAGTGTAAGATAAGCATCATACTTACGTTTCTCTCTAAGAATTCTGAAATCGCGGAATGCCATTCAACATTTACATAAACATACATTTAGAAACACAGCATTCCATTTGTGAGAAATACACAGCTTTAAGGCTAGCAAAACAATGGACTTTCTTACTGAGTCAGAAACATAATGCAGTGATTGAGCAAACCAACAGCATCCCTGTAGTTTTTCCAATGGAAGGAAAACCACAATTGCTTAGGCTTGAGACCCCCACAAGAGGAGAACAGAATACAAAGTTTTAATAAAATCTTCAGGAATTTCTTTCTTGATTTTTGAGGAAAGATTTAGTGTCTTTAGCAGACCCTTGCATAAGATTTCTGCTTCCTACTTCTGACTGGTTTTAATAGGCACAGGAACCCTAAGCCATCCTGGTGGGCAGTGATCTGATTTCATAAATGACCTTTTTACTAACAAGAAAGACTTATTTATTGGTAGCAGAGGTTTCACAGCCCCAGGCTGTAAATGAACTTTCATAGGAACTCGAAACAATTGCAGATTTCATGCCTTCTGCTCTAAATTCAAGAAACACTCTTCTAATCCTGCTTTCTCTCATGTAGCCATATGGCAACATGTAAGTTTAAATAAAAAACATCCCCTCAGCATCCAAACAAAAACCTACACAGTATATACAATTCTTCTTCAGAGAAAGGAATGAAAGAAAGAATCTATTTGTCCAAAAAATACATTGCTGTCAGGCAGTAACAAATGATCACTGACTTCAAATTTAGTTAGAATGCTTAAGACAAATTATACCAGGAAAAGGGTTATTTGTATTAAAAGCACCAGCCACCAAGTGAGATAAGGATGTCTCACTCAGATGTTAAAATTCCAGGCATAATTTGCAAGTGAACAGAGGCATACTGGTCAAAAGCACACTGATGAGAACACAGACAACAAAGGGCTCAGTCTAGCACCACTAGAATCAACTGCCTTTTATGTTATCTTTCATTTCTCCATGGCTTAAATGTTATTATTGAGAAAGTCTAAAAAGCTGGGCAAGGAAACGATCATCTCAAACAAAAAGAAATGGTTGGCACTTGTGAAGTGTTCTCCCTCCCCCCCAGCCCCAATCTCAATGTATTTTATATATAAGAATATTCTTATTGCCACCTGATAGGGACACCAAGACACAGAAAGGAAGTCACTAGCAAAGGCAGTGGCAGGGAGGGGGAATAGAAACTAATGCAAACCCAAACAACAAGGATTCCTGACTTTAGATTTGTGCCATCCAGTAGACTTCCCCATGGCTCAGAATGAGATGAATCATCACTGTAATACTGGATGGCTATCTGAAACGTGGGAAAGATGAGAAGAAGGAAAATACATGCAGACTGAATGAAGGTAAAATTCAAGAGCTTTGAGACAAAGATGAGTGAAGATAGAAAAGTCAAAAGTCAGTAGAAGCAGATAAAAAACACAGAGTAAACACATCAATAGAGCATTGTTTTCCTAATGTCAACAAATGCCAATATTATTTGAAGTAACACAGTTACAGTCAAGTAGCCATTTTTATGAAGTGTAGTGTACATGTAATCTTGTCTTTAAGGGCTCAGTTCAATACAAACCAAACACTTTGTGGAGAACTTTTAAAGTGGTATTTTATTTCAAGTGACAATAGTTCTAGAGCAGTTCCTGAAGTGGTGACTTTTCCCTGATGAGCAGAGTGGAGTGCTTCGTTGAGGGAACACCACAGCACAAGTTGGGGGAGCAGCACAGGAGCTTGGTGGGTCAGTGACCCCTCTGCCCACTCTTTGCTTGGCTCCCTCTCTCCTAGCAGAGCAGATGGAGCAGGAGCTGCCAGGAGGATCCTGCTGAGAGGTACGAGGGTAGTTTCAGCACCTCTCAGAAGCCAGCTCCTGGTTCTCTGGGATTTACTTTTGGAGCTGGGCAGATGTTGCAGCTTTTTCAGCATTGTACCTTGGCCACCCCACCTTTCCCTGCAATCTCCTCGTGTCCGTGTCTCCTATTCCGTTCTCAACAGGTGCCTGGCAGTGTGTTCCTGCCAGCTTCCCAGATCTGCTCAATTGTTTCGCCTCATTACCAGTAAACTGCACAATACACAGGGAGAGATGGTTTGCTGGTACAGGAGGTGTTTATCCACACAAGGAGATGAGGAGTTAACAGCAGAGTAAGTGCAGAAGACAAATGGCCAAGTTTAATTTATGTCACCAAATACAGAAGACTCCAGTGAAAAGCCTTAAATGGACTAAAAATCCCCAAGGATTGGTTCATTTACTCTTCACTATCCATATTTCCCCAGCAACACACAAGAGTGCTACTTTCCAGAATAAACAAAACAAAACATAAAGAAGAACAGAGAAGATGCAGGCCTGCTCCCCTGAGAGACAATTTTCAAGTGGCCGTATTTCCCATCTTCTCTAGATACAGCGAAGGAAAAGGGAACAAGCAGCAGGCTACATCATCCAGATGCAGCAGAAAGGATTGTTCAAACACACACTATAAGAGTATTGGGTCTGGCTGATCCCATAGCAGCCCTCACTGGGCTGTGCTTTGTATTGGTAGCTAGAAAGGTGGTAGCTGTCTCTCTAACATTCCCCCCCTCACCAGCAGGCGGAGGTGAGCAAGATCTTAGAGGGCACATAGCCAGTACAGCTGACCCAAACTGACCAAAGGGATATTCCATACCATACAGCATCTGCCGAGCAATGAAAGTAAGAGAAAGGGGGTGGGGGATGTTTGTTATTACAATGTTTGTCTTCCAGAACAACCACTACACAAACTGAACCCCTTCTTCCCGGAAGTGGCCGGACATTGCGAGCTGATGGGAAATAGAGAATACATCTTCTGCATTCCTTTGCTTCCACACACAAGCCTTTGCTTTTGCTTTATTAAACTGCCTTTATCTTGACAAGTTTTTCACCATCTTTTTTTCTCCCCTTCCCTTCCTCCCCAGCCCCCTGTCACCCATCCTGCGAAGAAGGGGAGCGATAGAGGTTTGGTGCGCAACTGGCATCCAACCAGGGTCAACCCACCACAAAGAGAGAAACTAAACAATGTGAAGGATGCTTATCATTCAAAGATCAGGATTTGTCTGGATTTTATGCAGATCTTACAGCCACAGTAATAAAGAGTTGATTCATCCACAATTCTCTAAAGATATTTCCCTCACTAACCAACTGTAAGATGTTTATGAGCAGTAAATTAAGTAGAGCATAGATGCAGCTCGGGTACAGCTGATCAAGAGAAATCAGACACCGTAATTGTCAATGCAGTATAACAGTGACATGAAGGTTGTCTTTCTTTAGTCAAAAAGGAGTGAGCCATTCATACAGGCTTCCCCTTCCAAATGGACAATGCAACACATCATCTACATACACCTCTGCATATGCTGCAGGAACATTTACATGGAAATGTCCTGCTAAACACAACAAGGGGCTCTTCTGATGAATCCCTTCAACACGCCAACAAGCAGCAAAACAACTCTCTCTCCAGTTAAGAGCACCAAAACAAACACAGCAGACCTTACACTGATTTCTAACTTGTTCTGACTGGGTACATCTCACAAAGTTTCCGAGGAAAAGTCTATTCTCCCAGCGTCAGAAATACTACTCAAATTTGCTTCTACAGAGTTCACAACTGAAGGGCCAAAACTTAAAAACCACATTGAGCATTGCTTATTGACATGACCCTCTTAATGCTCGGGAGCCGCAGGAAAGTGTTGCAATGCAGCAAGGCTGTTACCTCAGGAATGTGCCTCCCTGCAGCAGGA